AATATTATGCATCTTTATCTTTAAAATGTAGAATAAAAACAAGTTGTTATTTTGACATCAAGATAATAAAACATGTTTGGTTCAGAATGTAATGGCGTATAATATACATTATTAAATCAGGTAGACTCTTCGGTCTCAGTTTTTTACAAAACACCTATGTAGACAAGACAGTGACTAATTTGTATGTGATGTGGAACATTTAATAGCACAATGATTCCTTCACAGTGTTTAATAGGTACTAACCTAAAAGCTGTTAGCCTTTGTAAGGCTAATTGTGATCTTCATAAATAATGAAATAAAAATATTTCTCAAAGGACCGATTAACACCTGTGCTCATTAAAGTCTTTATAATAATTTCCCACTTCTCTGAGTTGATGTGGATACCCTGATGTGGCAGTCATTAGTAGAGTTCCCTGACATTTACATAAAAGTCAGTGGTTAGAGAGAGGGACAAAAATAATACAGCATATTTTATTTAGAATGCTCTAGGGTACACTAAATATTATGAGACTATTTAGACTCACTACTCTTCCTCAAGCTAAAATTTAAAAAAAAAATTTTTTTAAGTGGACTACTTGAAATGTGAAGTATTAGAGATTATTTAATCTAGGAATATCACATAGTATAGTCACTTTACAATGCTTAGCAGTTAGTAAACTGATATGAATGACATAGAACATGCAGAGGTGACTAGAGAAATCCACTGATATTTCCAGTTCTTGTCCTTCTGTCATGTGGTAGGATTATACTTCCATGCCACCTTGAAAACAGGCAAGCTGTATGACCCACTTTGATCAATAAAACATATGCAGAAGTGACATGTGTCACTCCAGCCAGAGGCCTTTAAGGGGTTTTAAGAATCTATAAAAATCTCCATGTCTCTTTGGCCTGCCACAGTGACCAGAGATATTCCTGATGATAAAGACTCCAACAGCCCAAGTGAGAAAAGACAAGAGCAGAACCAGAAATCTCCACTCAGATCTTAGTGAGGAAACTATTGGAATCTGGATAAGAGGCAACTCATGCTGTGCCATGCTGTATGACACTGTTCCATGGCCACCAGTGGAGATAGACAAGGGTGAGGGAGTGCCTAGAATCCACATTACCAAGCCAGCCAGGAACCCAGGATCATGGCAAATGCCCCCTACATAACCAGCAGAGCAGGTTCTATCCACATCCCAATGGCACCCCCCAAAGCCCCAGGAGCAACTGATCAGTTTGCCGCCATCAAGGCAACACCTTGGTCCTCATCATAGCATGAACTCGCCCTCATATTCAGTCCAACACCCCTGCCAACTCTCCTGCTCACACTCAGCCCTTATCCCCAAACATTCAAGAATGTATCTTAAAAACCCAGTTGTTTCCATGGAGTTATAAAAGACAAGAATAGACATTGGTAGGTAGTCTGTTAAGTCTCAGAAGATCCTCTGTGCTAAAAAAATATTAGAGATTGAGTAGGGAATGATGATACAATGAGCTATAGGTTCGCAAGCCCAAATAGAATCTGTTCATGCTCTTCTTGCTAATGACATTATCAAGTAATCATCCGTGAAATCATTTACATTCCAGCAGGAACCACAATCACTTATCCTTGCAACGTGCATTTACAGACACGAAACATTGGAGATTCTGGGGCTGCTGTTAGAATGAAAACCCTGCTCACACCACGGACCAAGCAAGGAGGCCCAATGTATAATTGGTCATGGTGACTGTATGTATTTCTGAGCTCTGGCTTTAATTCTTTACTAAGTTGTCAAAGCGACTCGGGGTAAATCATTTTCCCACCCTGTGCCTCAGTTTACATATCTGTACATGAGGCATTTCAACTAGGTCCATGGCTCCCAAATTGGCCATGGTTAAAAATCACCTGGATTACTTCAAACACAGAAAATTCAAAACATCATCTCCACAGATTCTGAGTCATACTGTTGGAATGGGTTAAGGCATATCTTATTGATAATTGCCCAGGGCGTCCTGATGTTACAGGCACATCAGGGATCAAAACATTGAACAATCTGTTTTTTCTGGGCACCTCACCGTATTTTTCTGCCTGGTTCTTACCGTCTAACTTGGAATTGCATAATGCGCTTGTTCTGACACACCCACTCACAAGTCCTGTCTTGTCCTGCAGTAGCTGTACAACCTATGACAAATCATTTCGCCTCTATACTTCTTTCTCTCATTTGTAAAGGGAAAGGGTTCAATAAATTAATTGCCAATGTGTCTTCCAATGCAGTCTGCAATTCTGTGACCATTGAGGACACTTGGGACAGAGCCAATAAACAAAAGCAAATCTCCTGATTCCCCAGGTGCTCTCCCATCTCAGCACATTCCTTGAAAACCATGTAAGACTCCAGATCTATTTCCACAGCAGGGTACCCAATTCCTGACTGCCATTCACAGATAGCTGTTTCTGACCTCCAGCTCCCCTACACAGCCACTGAACCATAGTTGAGTTGTCAAAACTACTTTCAAAAACTGCTTATTGGGAAGACACCAAGGAGAAAAGAGAAAGAAAAGGCAGAATGACCACTTCCTTGAACAACACAGCCAATGCCTGGCCTAAAGTTTTGTTTTAACTTTTTGTGTTGGGATTTCTCGAATTCAGTTTAAAAAAAAAAACTGGGGAGGGAAATTGCATAATCAAAGCGACTTAACAACTGAAATCTCTGAGCTCCCTGAAAAACTATTACAGAATTGTACACCTAAAACCAATGTAGCTTTACTAACCATTGTCACCCCCAATAAACTTTAATTAAAAAAAAAAAAAAAGAACTAGGATGCTGGTGCCCCTTGGCGCATCCGCACTGGGATCTGACCCCATTCCCCTTGAGGCCCCACAAACTTCTACTCTTCTGGTTCATGGCAGGATCCCAGGATCTCTGTTCTCTTCTGTTTCTGAGACACCCTTTTCCTCTCTTCATCTACACACAGACATTCCCAGAGGTCTATCCCTACAACATGTCTTCACATAGAAGCAATTTTAGGGAGAGCTTTTACAAGAGACCAGGAACCACACTCTGGGTCTCTTCCTAGCACTAGTTCTAGACAGTGTACCCACATTATTCGACTATTGATAACAGCTAGTTTATTGATCACTTACCACATGCTACTTACACTGCAAAGCAAGGTATCAGTGCCAGGTAGTAGTAGCAATTAACCCCATTTCCACATTCAAAAAGTAAAGAATAGGTAAGGAATTTGAAGTATAAAGAAGCTAAATAACTTGTGCCTTCTCTGGCATAAATATTAACTTGTGTTCCTACTATACAAATTCAGGCTTTCAACGACCATGATATTCTGATGGTCCTAGGGCTGGCAGCTAAGAACACTTGGCTGCCCCTTCCTGGCGTCTTAGCCTCCCTGGTCTCTGATTAGATCCTCTGCAGGGTCTAATTCATAGATGAATTAAGTTACAGAGAGCTTAAATATTATTCAATCCAGAAATAGCAACTATATTACATAGGTTGTACCACCTCTTATTACTGTACCCATGGCAGGTATAACTAATAAATCACAGCATTACATTCAATAACCTAAGGTAAGATCTCACTGTTTTGTTTTTTCCAACAAAACTTTCTGGTCATCCACCATTAATTCTACATATTAGAATGGCTAAAATCCAAAAAGCTGATAATAGCAAATGCTGGTGATGAATGTGGAGCAACAGGAACTCTCATTCATTGCTGGTAGAAATGCAAAATGGTATAGTCACTTTGGAAGACTATTTGGCAACTTCTTACAAAGCTAAACATAGTCTTACCACATGATCCAGCGATCACACCTCTAGGTATTTACCCAAATGAGTTGAAAACTTCTGTCCACGCAAAAGCCTGCACATGAATGTTTATAGCAGTTTTATTCATAATTGTCCAAAACTGGAAGCAACCAAGATGCCCCTTAATAGATGAATGGATAAACAAACTGTGGTACATACATATCGTAGAATATTGTTCAGCAATGAAAAGAAATGAGCTATCAAACCATGAAAAGGCATGGAGGAAACTTAAACACATATCTCCTACAGAAGCCAGTCTGGAAATGCTACGTACTGTATGATTCCATCTATACAACATTTTGTAAAGACAAACCTATAGAGACAAGTGAAAAGGTTAGTGATATCCCAAGATTTGATGGAGAGAGACTAAAGGATGACTAGGTGGGACACAGGAGCTTTTTAGAGCAGTGAAATGTCTATAAGATACAGTAATGGTAGATCCATGATGAGAGGAAAGCAGACAAGGTCAGTGGCTTGCAAACCTAGTTTCTACCCTTTGTGCCCCCACCCCCTGCCCCACTGTGTGTGAACGAAGGAAGTTGGGAGACCTTTCTCAAAAAGATCTGAATCTGCATAAAATATTGGGCTTCTCCATATGGTTTCAGTTGAAATGAAACTTGAGCATCTGAAGACAATATTGGGAAAACACCATCCCACAAACACAGCATGTGCTGTCCAGTTCTTATGCTCCGTGATATAAAATTCCAAGGCATTAAGTCTTGACGATTCCTGCTCCTACCACTCTGCAGAGGTTCTATCGAGCTACCTGTGTGGGTTTCAAAGGCGCCTGGCTAGTTTAAGATGTTAGAGACCTGAGTCTGATAGAGAGTATAGGTGAAGCCAAGCCGAGGGCCCCATCCCAGGCCTCTTGGGCCCTGGGGAGGGGCAAGCCTTTGATTCTTCACTCCACTGTGACCTCAGCTTTTCATCCTTCCTTTCTGGCAGATCATTTCCATTTCAAAGAAATACTAGCCCTCAATAGCCAATGAGATCACTTCTTACACTCTGCTGTGCACAACCACATACCCTCCCCCCCTCCTCCTTACTGTCTAAGCAGATAATAATAGAAAATCACAGCTTCCTTTTCTCGCTGTTTGGGAATTACCCCAGGGGCTGATGCCTACTCAGCATATTCAGTGTCTTACTTCATCCTTCCTGCCCATGCTCTCTGCACCCTATAAAAGGCAGGCAGGATGGCCAGAGCAGACAGAAAGCAGAGCAGTTGAGGCCAATCAAGAAACCTCCAATTCATACTGAAGCTCACGTCCTCACGCTCCACCATGAAAGTCTCCACTGCCCTCCTGTGCCTGCTGCTCACCGTGGCCGCCTTCAGCGTCCAGGTGCTGGCTCAGCCAGGTAAGCTCCCTCTCTTCCTAAGCTTTAACATTTTGATGACTGCAGGTACTAACATCCCAGCGTGAGTCATCCCATACTTGCTGTAGAGCCTTTATTGCAAAGATGGAGAAAACAAAACCAAGAGGGGAAATGAGAAAAGCCATAATGTCCCAGCTAGTCAGAGGCAGAGCATGAATTATTGGGTTGTCGGAAAAGTCATGATGTATTTTTTCTACGTTTTTCGTTGCAAGAATGCGTCATGACTTTTCCGACAACCCAGTAGATACCCAGGCCGCTGAGGCCAGTCCCCATGACTTTTCCTGATACCAGCTTTGGGACACTAAATACAGCCAGTACCTCAACAACCGAAAGAAGAACCATTTCTCATCGTGGATGTGAAGGACATTTCAGGAAGGAGTTTAGGGAAAGAAACGATTGCTTCAGGTTTCAAATGTTGGTTATGGTCAGTGTAGGTTTCAGAACAGTTGCTGTGTCAGGAGGATAACTCAGAAGCATCTCAGCACGTGACAGGGGTTGGCTCTAAAGCCATGGGGACAAGTAGCTGGGGAACAAGGTCTGAGGACTTGTCTTCCCAGCATCAGGAGTTTTGGACCAGTGGACGCTTCTCATGACACTACAGGATTAGACTTGTCGCTCAAGATTTCCCCCTGACCATTCAATAATGAGGGGCCACATCATTCAGTGGAGGAAACTGACTCACGGGTCACATTTTTTCTCTAGGAACTGGACTAAAGACACTGAACTTCAGAGTCATGGGTCCTAGTTAGAACTCATGTATTTGCTTCTTGTCCTCTACTTTCTCCTCTTTCCCTTACAAATGCCTGTTACCACCCATCCTGACTATCTCATTCTTTGAAAAAATGTTTTGCAGATTCAGTTTCCACCCCAATCATCTGCTGCTTTGGTGTCGTCAACAAGAAGGTCCACGTCCAGAAACTGAAGAGCTACACAAGAGTCACCAACACCCAGTGTCCCCAGGAAGCTGTGATGTGAGTGAACCATGCCCTGACACCCTCAGCCAGCAGTTCTATCTGAGTTTTAGACAAGGGAAAGAGATCGGGATTCATGTCCACATGAGTCAGATAAATATACCATCCAATCAAAAGGGCCCTTTACCCCACAGAGAAACTGAGCCCACAAGAAAGAATCTAGGCTCCCCTTCTAGAAACATGGCCAGATCAGCCAAGTTCCTTCAGCCAGGTTCCTGAAGGGCGTCCCCCCACCAGGGACAGCAAGAGTGAGCTTCCTTTGGAGGCCTCTTCCTCCATCCTTCCCTTCCTCTTGTCCCAATCCAGGTCCCTCACCCAGGGAGCAAGGGCTGATCAGGTTTGGGGGCCAGTGGGTCACGCTCCTGGGCAAAATCCTCAAGGCGCTCCATCTAATTGTTTGCTCTCTCCCTCACAGTTTCGTGACCAAACTGGGCAAGGATATCTGTGCTGACCCCAAGCAGAAATGGGTCCAGAGTTCCATGAAGCACCTGGACCAAAAGTCCCAAGCCTTGAAGCCTTGAACATGAGCCTGAAGAAAACCTTATTTATTTTCCCTCAACCTCCCCCAGATACAGAATAATATTATTTTCTTATGATGTACAAAAAGAGGCACTTTGGTTAGTAATTTAAAGTTCAGTATTTCTTAAGAGATATCTAATTATTTTTAAGTTATAAATGTTTTTACTTTATCTGCCATAAAACCTAAAGGATGTAAAATGCAAAACCTGGTGTTGTGTTTCCTTTCCTGTGAGCTCAGTTAAGTTCATGGCTACATGCCACTGTTTCCCCGTCTACCTGGCTGTAGCATTGTGAAGTCTTTTCATGGTTCATCAGAAGTGAAACACTTCCATATTTATAGGAAATCGGTGCTTTTGTAAACGTGCGTTATGTAGTGTTGTTGTTGTTGAAATTAATGTTATTTGATAACTATGGAATTTTCAAATAAAAGTATATATACTTTTAAGCTACTTGGTTTTATTTTTTATGGGATAACATTTAGCTGGGAGGGAGAAATGGCACAGTGGGCGGCCATTTGGGGTCTAGGGGCCATCCTCTAAGAAGTCTGTTAGACTCACCTGAGGATCAGGGAGAGCCTGGCAGGATCAGACCAGGTTGTTTCAGCCCTTTGGCTGCAGTCCCTAACGTTACCTTCCCACTGAATCCAGATTTGCATGTCTTTTCTCACCACACCTAATTTTGCCAATCTCTTTCTTGATTTCTTCCAACCGTCTTCAACCTTTTCTGTCTAACTCCAAATTTTCTCCATCTAATTAATTCTCCAACCCAGAGAAATACCCCAGGAGTGAAACCCCACCTAGGAGTAAACTAGGTGCCTATTATTACCTAGAGGTCCACTTAAGGCTTTCCATTGAAGATGAGTCTTCAACAGGACTGGTCTTGTGGGTAGGTGGCATGCAATGGGTAATGGAAAGGGTACTTTAGAGCTGGTACAGAAGAGAGAGAAGGGGAGTGGGCCAGAGGATAGAACCCCATTTGGCTGAGTTCTGGAAAGACAGAGGAGTTTGGGCTTTTACAAATAAAGGTTGGAGCCAGATTGTAGGGACTCTTGAATTTCAGATTAGGAAGTCAGTGGAGAATGGGGATGCACTAAAAGTTTTGAATGAGGGGAGGAGGAAAGTGTCGCATTCAGAGGCATGCATCAAGAATAACCTGGGGGCCGGCCGAGTGGAGCGATGGTTAAGAACTGGCTTAGGATGCCAGAGGGCCCCGGTTTGGATCCCACATATGAGGGCCAGTGACACTGCTCTCTACAGCTAGGATGCTGAACAACAGCTCAACCTGGAGCTGGACAGCCATGAGTCGCCGGCGATGGCATAAGCTGCAGCCCCTGTGGCAGTGGGTTGCATGGGCTACCGTATGTAGCCAGCAGCCAGTGTGAGTGGCCAGCAGCCGCAGTGAGCGGCCGTCCAGAGGACAGCGACTAATCTGCCTCAGCCGGGAAGAGCGCAATGATGGTGCCAACTTGAGCCAGTGAAGCAATGTCCTCCACAACTAGACTGAAGAACAAAAATGACAGCAACTTGTCTGTTTCCCTTCCCCCAATTCCCCAGCACTGTTCCTATCCCCCCAGTTCCCCAATAAAAAAATCTTTAAAAAAAAAAAAAGAATAACCTGGTATCTGAGTACAGGACAGAGTGTGAGAGGCAAGGCCTGAGAGCAGACCACTGCAAGGGGTGCAGAAGAGATGATCTGAAGCAGGGTTCTGGTGTGGGTGAAGTTAGGGAGAGTGGGCCAGGCGGAGTGATATGCTAAATGCTGTAGAAGGAGGACAATAATTGACCCAGGATATAGACCCTTCTCATATAATCTTGCAAAACAACAATGTATTTAGAGGACTGGCACCCTTGAGACACAAAATTAATTTATCTCCATCACTCTATCCCCAACCCCAATCCCAAGAACTTGCAAGCCACCATTTGAAGCCATGAGACCTCCTTTCCTTAATAGCCTCTTAAGATCAAAATTCCCATGTGCTTCGTCAGCATAGCTGGCTCCTTTTTCAGACATGAGACCCACCATACTGAGGCACAAAGAGCAGACTCCTCACTAAGGAAAGAGGATTACTGTCTTGCTGACCCAGCTCCCCAGGGCCTGTCATTGGTGATCGTGTGCAGATTCCACCGTTCCAGTACACCTGGCAGCATGGCAAGACCAGAGCCATGGCTTCTGATCCTAGCTAGGACTGACCCTGACTCCCTGTGTCACTTAGGACACATCAGTGTCTCTGTCCAGCATTAAGATGCCCCGTACATAGGTGGAGCTAATCCTGTGTCCCAGGCAGGAAGTGAGGGGGATCTGGCTGACAACCTCACAAGTCCCCTCCAGTTCTAGGAGCCCCATCTTTTGGAAAGTTGGCCATGTCTGTTGGCTAGTATACGGTGGGGAAGTAAAGTGCCTAGAGTTGAAACTATCAAGACAGGCAGGAGCCCCATCTCTTGGCAAAAGTCACATATATCACCTGTCTAGAAATGAGCTTTCCATTAAAGTCCAACGTAGCCCATCCAAACCCCAAGAGCGATACAGCAGCTAAGCATCAGCCAGGTAAGCGGTGCATGTCCCAGCCACAAAGGCTCCATCTAATTCTAACCTCTTTCTTCCACAGTCTCAAGGCCAAGCGGGCGATAGGGAGCTGGGCCCAGGGTTTTATCAAGTGCCTGGACCACAAAACCCAAAGTCCAAAGGCAGGAAGGCTCATCCTAAACTGATACCAGGCCATTGCACAAGACACAACCCGTTTGTTTTCCCCGAGCTTTGCGCAGCTAGCTACACTCTGGGATTAGGCTGTTACATTATAAATCACAGTGAACTCAATGAATTAAACATAATGCCTTAAGTGATATGTCTTCTTATTTAAGTTATTGATGTGTTATGTGCCCAAACTTGAATATTAGTGTTTTGAAAATTGGCATCGTTACATTAACTGGTTCATATTTGTGAGTTCCGATTCACTCCCTGGTCAACTGTGAGCAAAGAACTGGGGAGGTCGCTGGAGCTGACAGCTGTCATCGTGGGCTCGCCTCTGATTTCACCCTCTGCTCGGGATGACAGTTTACTGCAGGCTGTGGCTCACTACTCTTTCAACATCTGCTCTAGTGTCTCCTCGCCGCTGTCCCCAGACTCCTCCATAGGTGCCATCTCAGGTCGTGAGTCGGCTCAGCCAGCACATTTGCCTGAGGCTCAGAAGTGTGGGGGAGGAAATACTGTAGGTGACAACCTTCCACCAATGAAGGGTGGGGGTAGATGTTTAAAGGCTTTGGCCACCCTTCCCTCCAGTGGTTGATTCTGAGAGCCATTCTGTAGATGTCTCAGGTAGTCCCAGGAGTATCAGTCCCCATTCCCCAAATGCTGACTTTGATTATGCCTATCTGTGTTAGTTTCTCTTCCTTCCTCATCTCTTTCACCTGCCTCCTCATTCCTGATCCCTGGGGTCACTTCTCAAATGAACTATTTGCACACAGGTCCTTGTCTCAGGCTCTGTCTTACTGACTGTTTTGTACACTCAATATTCATTCTCCTTCCCTAGGTCAACATCTGGATCTCCATGGGCAAGTTCATTGGATGAGGGCCAGGGATTCAGCTGGGCATTTGGTTGGTATTTTCACCAGGTCTCGGCTGGGGCCAGGATCAGGAATTTACCCAGTGTGTTCTTTGGAGCCAGGGCTGAGGTCAGGCCTGTGAACTCACCCAGCACGCTTAACTGAACTGAGCTGGGTCCAAGAGGGCAGCTCACAAGTCAGGGCCGACAGGACTGGGACTGGACTAGCCACATAGCTAGGAGAATGGTGAGATAGAGAGGGATTTAGCAAATAAGTAAATGTATTGAAGATAATAAAATCCAAGTCACTAACTGTTGGAGAAGTTTCCATAGAAAAACAGAACTTTGGAAAGCTAGAAAAAATCCTGTTGTGTTGGTCTATAATTGGAGCTATTGGTGTGAACTCAAGGTTTTACAGATAGATAGATAGATAAGTAGGTAGGTAGGTAGGTAGGTAGATGATTGACAAATAGAAATACACACATAGATCATAGGATATGCGTATGTTGACCATATACTCAACCACCAAGTGCTTTTCCAAATACCAAATATGTCCCAACACTGTTGCACCAATTTGTATTCACTCCCAACAGCAATGTTTGAGTTGTTCCACATCTGGTATTGCAACACTTCATACTGTTATTCTTTTAAAGCTATCTATTTTGATTAAAATTCCACATAATCCACAAGTTTCAACTTGTCTTGTACTTAAGACAAATGAGGTTGGGCCTCTATTTAATGTTTGTTGCATATCTTCTTTTATGAAGTTCCAATCCATGTGTTTGGTCCATTTTTTAGAGTGTTTAATTTAGATTTTGTTCATTTTTATATTTCTGTGTCTTCATTATGAATTAGTAGAGGTATTTTTTATATTCAGGATAGGAATCTTTTGTCAGATATGTGAATTAAATATCTTCTCATAAAAGAAAAAGATTTTCCTTCTCACTCCCTTAAAGATGCCTTTTGATGAAAATAGCTTTCTAATTTTGATAGTCAGTTTATTCATATGTACCCTTATGGTTAGTGCTTTTGTTTTCTGTTCAAGAAAACTTTGTTTAACCAAATGTCATGAAGGTATTTTCTGATGTTATCTTCCAGAGACATTATCATGATTTCTTCTTTAATCCATAAGTTATTCAGATGTACATAGCTTAGTTTTCATGCTGTGGGGTGTTTTCTACTAACCATTTTGCTAATTGGCTTTAATTTAATTCCAAATGGTTAAAGAACATATTGCATATATTTTCAAACCATTTATATTTGTTGAAACTTTGTAGTTCAGAATATAGTCAATTTATACATATATATTTCACATTTCTCCAGAGAAACAGAACAATAAAATTTATATTTATATTTATATATATTTATATTTATATGGAATTGCCTCATGCATTTATAGAGGCTGACAAGTACCATGATCTGCAGAGTGAGTCGACAAGCTGAAGACCCAGGAAAGCTGAGAGCATAGTTCTAGTCCAGATGCAAAAGCCTGAGAAGCAGAGAAGTGGATAGTATATTTCCGGAGAGCAATCTCAAGAACCAGGAAGAGCCAATGTTTCAGTTCCAGTATCAAGGCAGAACAAAAGCCAATGTACAAGTTCCAAGGCAATCAGGTGGAAGAATTCTTTTTCACTCAGGGGAAGGTCAGTCTTTTTGTTCTATTCAGGCCTTCACCTGATTAGATGAGGTCCATCTACTTAGGGAAGAAAATCTGCTTAACTCATTCTACCAATGTATATATTAATCTCATCCATAAACATTCTCACAGAAACACCCAGAATAATGTTTGACCAAATATCTGGGCACCCCATGGCCTGGTCAAGTTGACAAATAAAATTAACCATTTACAGATAAATATGTATAAATAATA